ATGTTTTACAGATCAGAACTACTGGCAAAGTGGAAGCAACACAGCTCATGACGAATACGTCACCATTCTGCAATGCTGACGTTTCCTCGGTGTGCTTCTATATGAGGACAGGGAGATAATTCAATTCATCCTCCAGAAACGTAGCTTCGCACATTGACACGATCTGAAAGAACTTTTGCACCCACATCACCACTACAGGGCTCGCCAATTTTAGAATTAATCTTCCTAGCCTCCTCGGGGTTCTACTTGATTCCTCTTGCAGAACAGCGAGAAACAAAGCCAAACAGCTAAGTCCCCACTGCTCCAATAGACATACGGACTGGTTACGGGGATTAAATATACTATAACCCGCCCCAACTGATGATCCTATCGATACCCTCTTCACACGGATGGCTTATTTCCGTTGCCACCGATCTAGGTCATATACAAGGGATCATGAAGAACCAAACATCTTCATTAAGAACTCAATCAATAATAGCTCGGCTTTTAGAACGTCGAACCCGACTTTTGCAGATATGTACAGGGACCAGTCTAACCCTCATGCCACCGCGAGGCACTCATTGGGCATGATGCCACGAATAGTTCCTCACGCATCAACATATGTCGCTTTGCAATTTATCTTCACTCTGACACAGAAGAGACTCGTTACCCAGCTACTGTCTTTAATCACAATTTCCAGTTTAAAGTGTTCTACTAGTTTATTGAACTACAGACCTCATCACTCATTGTCAGCTAAGTCTCAAGTGTTACAGGGGACCTTAGCCTCACCTCACACAACCAAAATGATGTTGCTTATTTTCTAGTGCTGACATCTATTGTACACTATCCTATGGCATGTGAAGTTCAGCCGTCAGGGCTTCCGTTGAGAAACTTTTCCTTCCCTGGATTTTTTCCCCCTCCACCCAATCCATCAACAACCTGGACCAGCGCTTCAGCATATTTTGATCTTACAACGGAACTGAAAATCGAATTTACGCATGTCTGAGAGAGTTGCAAACGTTCTGACCCACCATCATTTGTAGGCGATTCTACCTTTCGCCGCCCCCCTCCCAGCCTTTCATTCGGTAACCTCGGCAGTTGACAGTAATATCGCCGCTTTGGGGATGACACAGCAACACTCCAGATGGCCTTTGAATTTACTCGGAAGTTAGTATTATCGTTGCCGTGACTTCGTTGTTGAACCTTCATCTCTATGGCTATTTTCGAACAGACGGAATAATGCTCATTTTCTGCCACTCCGAATACCTGTGGAAATGTATGGGAGTCAGTCTCAAGAATTTCCCGAGCACTGAACAAAGCCGCTCAACAAACTTTGGCCAATGCAGAAACCAGTGTTGCAAGTACTAATGGTGGAACACAACTCAGTGCCCTTTGCCTACACATTCCTGAAGGACCAATACGCGGTCAAGCTAAGAGCACAACCTTTCTCTAACCTTTTGTTTAACGTTCAGAAAGAGACATATTCCCTCCCTCGCACAACCACAATCACAGGTCTAATAAATTTACTTCGCATTTTGGCTCATGAGTTTCGAGTAGTTGCCACCAACCTATCATCAGACTGAAATTATTCGCAGACCGACTACATTCAAGCCGTGTGATGGACATCGGAGTCCACATTTTCTAGCTTTATCTCAGAGATCTGTCATTCCAGATCTATATCCACAGGTCCCCATCCCAGTTCGATCGAAAGCTTCTTAAGGAGCGACTTCACGACTTCCAATGAATTTGGGAATAGAAACTTTTTCCTTTTTGAAGCCGTTCTCCGACACATTAATTCCTCTCCAGTCGGGTTACACAGAAGCTGTCTCACGTACCTTAGGGTACATGAGATGATATCTCCGGGGTTAGGTGATGTACCTACATCCACGTCTTACCTATTTACTTAAGGTAACGCATTTGAAGAAAAAAAAAACAATTGTTCCTAGTAGAATAGGTTTCTTCAAGAATATTTACCCAGTCATAATACACAATCACGCTTCCGGCCTAACCTCAGTTACACCCATAGAGAATGCCTTCCACTCCAATAGTAACTGATATGTTCTTAGTCTTTGTCGACAAATCTTCAACTATTATTTTTTAAACATTCTTGCGAGTGGTCGGTAGTTTACAATATCATTGTTTTTTGGTCGCTGAATAATCAATTTCTTTCACACAATGAAATCGATGAATCACTTGCTTCGTCGCTTCTACGGTCCCAAACTCCAAAGAAAACACAAATAACGTGTTGAACATTTCATCGACGATACTGACCCCAGTCTTCAGCGTATGGTTAAAGATCACAATATCGTAATTATCGAATGCAGTATCTGTACTGGATAAATCTAATTTCTTTAGTGAAGGATCAGTATCAGCGTGATAATATCTAACTTTGTATCCGGAACCTTGTAATAATTTTGACAAACTCTCCACGGAATTATTTATTATGTATATGAACAGTTATTTTATTTCCGGTGTTTTATTGCGGTTTAATTGTCCCACTAACACAACTAAATCACTTTCATGAAAAGTTTCAATGATAAATTTCTTTCCATGATCTGGTTTAAAATCTCTTGTGATAAATTTCATGGACGATCATCCTAATGTATCCATTAACAATGTTAGATCATCATCGTTAGCATCAGTGTCTAGAACAATTAATCGTTTGCACATCACCAACCCAGGGAATTTATTCCAACGATCTTTGCTGTACTGAACCGAACCGAATTGCTGTCTCCTCACGCCATGCCATTCATCTACAATCTTTACATCTGGAATTTCTTGTATCCTGTGTAGAGGTTCCAACTGAAACACAATACGACGTCAATCACCAGGTTTGAATATGATATCGCCAGTGATAAGATTCCGCTCCGTAATCGGGCTTCACATTCTCGGTAAAGGTCTTTCGATAACTAATCGCAATCACAGACTAATAAGGTTGCAGAGAACTTCATGCTGCTTCTGATTATTTACCAACTTCACATCCAGAGCATCCAGATAATCTTCGGGGATTATTTTGCAACATGGGCTGCTTTCGTGTGCTTGTGTCGTACGCATAATCTGTGTTTCGTTCTCGGAAGCATCCGAGATAATGACATCTATGACAAATCGAAATAATATATCATTTGTAAGACGAAGAAATGAAGCAGAAGACCAGAAAACAACGAGATTATAAACTACTGATCACTCGCGAGGATGTTGGGGAAAAAAATGGTTGATCGCAAACGATTGCTGTATGACCGGAAAAAAATTAACCAGATGTCCTAATTTTGATGATTACAAACCGCATACGGTTTAGCATATCTGAGCGAAATCATCGATGAAACAGATGCAAAATGTATTTCACGCCGAGATTAGTAACGATGATGAGGAATACTGGTTATGATACAGATGAAACTATCAAACTTTCTGAAAACTTTCGCCCGTCTTCGGATAAAATAATCTGGAGTTGTCATAGCTGCAAATAAACCCCAATTTTGCAAATATAATTCTGCTGATGTTTCTGAACCGTATGAAATTAATAAGATGTTTCTGAACAACATGTTCCAACGCGATAGTGAACAATTATCAGCAGATCAAACCCACAAAGGTTGAAGCAAGCTCAGTGATCATTGACAAATTTAGTAGTGGGAAGGATGTAGGTACATCACCTAACCCCGGAGATATCATCTCATGTACCCTAAGGTACGTGAGACAGCTTCTGTGTAACCCGACTGGAGAGGAATTCATGTGTCGGAGAACGGCTTCAAAAAGGAAAAAACTTTCTGTTCGCAAATTCAACGGAAGTCGTGAAGTCGCGCCTTAAGATGCCAAAATATTCAGATCGGATAAAATTTGTCCTAGGGAGAAATTAACCGTGGTGAGAAATGTTCTACGAATAGTGGATTTATCCGATGTAGTTCCTGATCGTTTGTTAATATTAACAGCGAAAGTATCAGGTTCAGATTTCAGAAACAACATCAAAGCGATGATCACCAATAAAGATAAATTGGAGATCTATAACAAATTAATGAACATCTTTCCGGAAAAGCGAATACAAAACAGAAAACTTATGATTAAAAACGTAGTCGATAAATTTAAATTACAAAGGATACGGCGCCACATTTACCGCGGATAATAAAAAATATTTATTCAGATCAGACTATACGATTAATTATCCAGAGTAGCCCAAATCTTTTTTTATGAACCATCTTCGCTGCGATGAATATCGTTGTGATTGCCAAAGGTTTTACGGTGGTAATGATGTGGTTGTCGACAACCAAGACGAGGATCTAGATCTGGACAATGAATGTTCAGTTTGTTTTGTCAGCGTAATTGATATCGAAACTAGGTCTAACTACTGATGGTTTAAGGAATACCTTTCGCTTCAACACTCTACTAGAATAAATTAACCTTAGGCAAGAGGGGGGAGGAAGCCATCTCAAAAGGAATGATTTTTCAATGTACCTCTACAAAAACCACAGGACAAAGCTGTTTTCGCATTCCTAACGGAAGGCGAAGTTTACATCTTATAGGTGACTCAATCGCCCACTTCGCCTGGTAGCGTGATACCTGGTATGATATAAAAACAAAAGGTGTTTTCAGCATAGTGATTCAGTTCTGACCTGTTCGCCCATACGTCAGAATCTTCTTTAGGCTAAATATTGTGGTCCTTGTACACTTGAAAAGAAGCTGCTTATATTATTAATAGTTCTGGGAGGCGAAAATTGAAACAACTTTGCCAAATAAATATGTAAAGGATTATGTTGATATAGTTCTTTTTATTATTCAGTCAAGTTAGTTGTGTGTGTGTGTGTGTGTGTGTGTGTGTTTTAACGTAACTTTAAAAAAATCTTCAATTATTTCACTACGATATCTAAAGAGTGGCAGTTTATACTGATGTCTAGCACTAGGGCATGATGCCACAGACTTGTAACATAATGTCCCACACATTCATATTATCCCGACCAGTTCCAACAATGACCTCTTAATGCTGAGCACCTAGCAAGGCAGCTGTAAGTACAATTTTTTATAAGTCTTCAGTATGACTGGACTGAGGTTCGAACCCATGACCTAACGCATCCAAGGCGGACGCTCTAATCACTAGGCCATTGGAGCGGTCTCAGTTTAGTTGTACATGGACCCCACCACCACTGTGAGGATTTAAATTATGGCATGCAATCGGACTGTAGTAGCTTTGATTTAACCAATCTTCTGACTTAAGAAATATTTAATAATTAGGATCAGAAACCTTCACATCTACAGTCACAAGATAAGAGTGAAATAAAATGTTATTACGTGTGTACAAGCACTTGTTTCCAGATGTTCCAATATGAATAAGCTAAATCTACTGACACGTCAATATTGTAGATTCTACACCTGTGAAATAGCATCCGTTCAGGATGAATTCTCACAAACAGGAATGACTGAAACAGAAATTCAATATTTGCTGGTGAACGATTTGATAGAACAGTAAAACTGGAGTTCAACATGTATTCTTGAGCTTATACCAGATAATATTTTCCTTATGTATACCGACAATAGAGAAGTGAACAGTGCCACGAGAATAGATTAATTTCCAGTCCTTTGACAAAATTGGAAATGCAAAATATGCCACCAAATTTTACTTTTCGAAAGGATTATCTCAATTCCACTTTCGGAAAGAGTAAAGGAAATTTTAGCATTTGCCACTCCAGATGAACTTGATCAATATAAAGTAATGTCGTTTGGTATGAAAGGTTCTGCAACTTTCCAGCGTTTAATAAACATGATAATATCTGATCTAGATAATTGTGATGCTTACATCGTTATGTTATCGTCTACAATGACACCTGATAATTTCACTTGGAAAAAAATTTGGAAATTCTTTGATCGACTTGATGATGCAAATTTAACAATTAATCATGTACAAAAAACACGCTGGTCAAACCAATGATGGGGTTAAGGTCAAGGCTATCTTTGAAATCTGTGTGATTATTAGTAAAATGCAACTTATGCTATATTTGTTTGTGGCTGGATGTTATTAGAAATATTGTTCTAGTTTTTCTATGATTGATTACACCCTGACCAATTTGTTTAGTATGAAAACCAAGTTTCATTGCTCTCAAAATTTTTTGAATACTTTTGATAAATTAAAGGCCATACTTAAGAGTGTACCAGTTCTTTCAACTCGAAATTTCAGTCGTTCATTAAGATATATATTGATGTAAGTGATGTTGGGATTTGTGCAATATTGATTCAGGGAGACAAAAATGTTCTGGATCATCCGGTGTGATATTTTTCTAAAACAAAATAAACACCAGAGAAATTATTCTGCAGTCAAGAAGGAGCTTTTAGCTTTGATATTTGCTTTACAACACTTTGAAGTGTATTTTAATTCAGCTAATTTGATTGGTGTATTCCTTAATCACAAGCACATTCCTTTCATAAACGAAATGAAAAACAAAAATCATAGATTGTTCAGGTAAAGTTTGATGTTATATGAATACAACATTGACATACACATTAAAGGAAAAGATCTTATTGCAGATGTACTTTCACATGCATATAAGTACTATACCATTTTATTTTGTAAATATCTTGTGACATTTATAAGACATTTTATTAGAATGTACAATACTTTATTTAAAAATCTTTCACTTTGTTTCTGAGTGGAGTTGTTATGTATGTTTAATTTGTTTTCTGTAATTGACTTTTGTCCATTATTATGGGTAGGAGTTTTGTCCTACCTGACTGTCTTTTTTTTGTGAAGAATATATGACAGAGCTAATTTTTGTTGCTGACTGTATAATTATATTTTAAGAATATTATTATTTGCAGGCGAACACGTTTCCTGGATTTGGGTTCAGGATGTTGATTTTCCCTTGGAAATTCCTGGCGTACCCAATATCTGCCATGTTCTTTACAAAATGTTTAGTAGTAGACCTGATCTTGTTATCTTCTAGAAATGAACTTTTGATTCTCATTCTCTCTCATTGTTTTATTAGGTTTTATAATGGAATTACTCATTTCTATCCTAACATCTTATTTGGAATCAGTCATTTAAATGTGTTCTGCTTTAATTTTAGAGGATTTTTCCCACTTATTCATTGGAATTACAAACTGCTCATTTTTACTTTCAGACTAAATTACTTTTTGGAATTACTGTGAATTCAACTTCAGAAATATTTTGGATTACATGATTGTGATACATCATGACTTTAATAGCATATCAACATTATTCCAGGTTATTGGTACATCAGCACATTGAAAACTGGAATTCATCTGGAATACACTATACTTCTGGACATGCAGTAGAACTTTTAGGACTATTTGAGATTAAATCACAATACTGTGAATTTAATTTTAAATTTTCACTTTTGTATTCAAGGGAAAAAAAATTATTTGTTGAATTTTACTAAATTTATTGGTTTTCACTACTTACTTTATTTAGTGTAAGACCGTTGGGTCATAATATTTTGTTTAAATGCAGTATCTCTCTCTTAAAAATTACTATCATTAAAATATAATTAAAAATGTATGTCATCTCTCATAATACATATATGTTAATGTTTTGAGTGGGAAAATCCATGAATATTAAGTGGTATTGTGTTCACATTAAAAAAAGAGAGCAACTTTCACTGTGTACTTTAACTGAGCTGACAGTAAGTTCCACAAAATGTAGTCAATGTCCAATATTATATAATTGTATTGCTACAGCTTTCTAATTTGTTACAAAAACACTTAATCTGTTTACTACAAGCCACAGCATGGACAATCCATGAAGACCACTATGTCCTGTCCATAATGAAATCTGTAAATGCATCATGGCCCTATGTGGGAACATGGTTTTTTGCATATTCCATGATGTGTGTACCACACTTCCACAAGTCCGAGATTAAAACATGGTCAATACATAATTTGGTTCTCACAACAAACAATCACACTCATGGCTAAAATGGTAGACTGGTCACATTTTAATTCAAGGGACATATTGCATTTATGCTGACTGCAATGAAATCCAATTTAAAGATAGAATGAAAACACTACTTTCACTTGACAAAACTTTACAGTAAGTATATAGTTATTAAAGCATTGCCATTTGTAGGTATTAATGACATTTTCATTGATCAAAATTTTCTCAAATAGTTATTTACCATGTACTAAAAATGTTTGGAAAGATAATTTAACAAAATATATTACTGTTAAAAGTTGAGAATTTCAGAATTTTGATAAAAATTTCTGTGTTTTGACATAAAAATAGCTAATATATCATTTACCAATTTTAACAGTTTCTTTATGTCTAACAGATAGAGGCCACATTTTAAAACAAAAATATTTTCTACTATAAAAAGAGGAATCCATGCCTACCCAAGGGTTAGGAGCAGGTTAGAGAATTATTCGGGTGAGCTGTGCATAAATTTTCATGGGTATAAAGTTTAAGGGTATAACCAAAAAAGTAAACATAAAAATCATGCAACCCAGGCCACAATGTCATCATTTTGGCATGGCTGAGCTACTATTCCTGAAAGGCATCCAAAACTTTTGTATGTATAGGTGAAATGGGGTCCAAGATATCGAAGGCATCATGAAAAAATTAATGAACCATTGAAGAAATGGGCTAAATAATACATTCCATTCCATTTTCGGCAAGAGGATATTATAAAGGTTGTAAAGGTTTTAAACCATATAAGCAGACTGAGTAAGAAGGACAATCTTCATCAAACAAACTGTTTAATCACAAAGATATTATAAAAGATTTACAAAGTAAAAACAACCAAATACCATTGATACAATGAGTCCAACTGCAAATTCCAAAGATCCATCTCCACCACCACATAATGCAGGCCTAGATTTATGCAGTTTGTAAGGAGTATTTTAGAAGGAAAATAAAATATTTTATGTGATATTTGCAGTTGGACTTTACTTAAGGTGAATATTAAAAAAAAAGGTACAAGTTCAGAAAATGTTATAACATTTGCACACATTATTTATATCTTCAGCACAAGATACATCTCATATTGTTCTATTTTTCTGTGACTGTTGGAAAGACAATGTCTCCAAGCGCCAACTGTTTTGTACATAATCCCTGAGATTTTATGTTTGTGCTCCCATTTGATGAAAGTTTCTTAAATAAATATGGTTTAAACAAGTGTGGCACATCATACATTTGTGGTGGTTTATCCAACAAGGAACGTTCCTAGGCTGTACTACATTACACACAGAGTATATCAACAAGCTTCTAAATTTTCCAGACTTATTACATTATACACAGTGTATAAACAATTAAATGTACAAAACTAACAACTCCCAGAAAATCTGTACAATGAATCTTAGGCCTTGATGGTTTGGACATACTAGTAAGGTTACTGCTTCCTAGTCAATGAAATATTCTTAAAAAAAAATTAAATTCTACACATGATTTTACTTCAAAGGGCAAAATACATTATGATATAGTACCTGGTACAACCAGTTTACTCACATCACTTGATTCTCCTTGACAGAAAAACTTTTCTAACTTTACAAAGCAAATGGGTGAAACTTTGGAAAGCAAATGGTGCCAAGATCAACCATTAAATAAAAACTACAAAATGGTCAAAAGGAGTAAGTACTCATGCCAACAGTTGGTTCAACTAGATCTTGGTTATTTTTAATCAATATTGATACTGAAGAATTGACGAATGCATGTTTTAGCAGACATGACAAGATAATCAGTTATCTGGAATCTTATACAGTGCAAAATGTTCAATTTGAAAGTTAAGGTGACCAAATTTTTAAGCCAAATTGTGTGGTTAAAGTCAAACACTACTGTGGCAATAGCAGATTAAGAGGGGGATGGTGCAGTGGTTCATTTTGTTTAGATGTTCTGTACTTTCCCCCAAGCCACCACATAAATTATATTTAAGCTTTCTTTTGTTAAAAAAATGCTGCAAATTTCATTTTTGGTTAAAGGGTGACCATCATGTATATAGGACGTTATACATTAGCATGTGTGTAAATCACATAATGGGAGACAAGTACAGACAATGTTTTTTCTTTCCGTCACAGAGACCCTGACCATTCATGTCCAAATCAACAGGCTTCATTTTTAACTCGGGTGCATGACGCCCACAAAGTTTGTCAGAGAACTCAAGTTATTGTGTG